CTTAAAAATGGCTGTAAAACGACATAAATTCACTCGTAGCACAGAAAACATTTAATCACATGTAGTGCTGAGTCATGCTGCGCTGTTGTTACTGCATGTAAACCACAGTAGATGAAACTACGCATCAGTGCACATTTATCTGGATACTCACTCGAATTTAAACCTGTTTCAGACTGCAACCCTGAGGTCTCACGTGCAAATACTGGCTTTACTTTAGCAAGCAAACATCTCATAAAACTGTTCATGTAAATACAAAAAATAAACACTCTTTTTTTTAGCTGCAGTACTCTGTGTGTTCCCTTGAAATTGCTACAACACAGTTAAAGCGCAGTTAAAGATTTAGGACAATGACAAAAAGGAGGCACAAAGACAAGCCACCCGTTCAATGCCGTACCAGAACCAACCAGGGGCAGAAAGAGACCGCGAGAGGGAGTCAAGTTAGACTAAAGTTAAAAAAATAGGCAGAAAAAATAATAATCACTAAACCAGAATATAGATTCAGTAATAACTTTAATACGGTTTAATACGAGGGCTTTTTTTTCACATTAATTTACGAGTTTGTCTCATAAAACCATAATTTTTTCCCTCACATTCGCTTTTTTTCTCCCTGTAAATTTCAACTTTTTTTCCCTCACAAAACTGATGTTATTTTCTCAAACTATCCAATTCTTACATTTTTTTTCTTGTAAACAAGTTTTTTTCATGTTAATTTGCTATTCTTTATCAAATCTGCCTGCTATTTTTTTTTTGTTTTTTCCTTATATTAATTCTGTCATATTTGCACATTTTGTTTCTCATGAACTTGCCAAATTTCTTTTTTACATTTTCACATTTTGACAGTCTCATATGTTTTTACTATTAATTTTGCCACTTTTTCTGGTAAATTTACAACTTTAGCCACATTTTCTGCCTTCGGTTGGCCTAACACACCATCATACACCCGAGCAGCGCGGTGATAACAACATCTCAGCAGCATGCAGCTCACACACTTATACTCCCGCTCACTTCCACTTCACCATCAGAGATCCTAAAGTGACGTAAAAAACTTTCCAGACTCATCCCTGTTAATTTTTTTTTTTTTTTTTAAATATTTGAAGAGCCTGGCTGGGCTTTAGGTTGTTCTGCGTGCTGACTTGAATCTCTGACACAATCGTTTTTGTTAGACTTGTATAGTTAGGAGAGGAATGAGCACATTTCCAGCTGATTTCTTTAAGATTGGCATTTTAGTGTGACTTTAGAACATGAATTCTGCACTACAGCTGAAGATGAATCTATCATTGTCACCCGTTTCCTCAGATTCACCATCGCATCACACCGGCACCTCAGTTTGAGATGTTAGCGCTGTTGTTGCGGTTCCCGTATTTGTGGTGGATGACCAGTAGCACAACGCCCAGGAAGAAGCAGACGGAGCCCACGGTGATGTAGGCGATGCCCAAGAATGGGTTCTTGCCTCCCATCCAGGAGATGGTGCTCAGGATCATCCGCTTCCTGCCCTCAAAGCTGCGAACAGGGTAATCTGGTTTCATCAGGTTAAAGGTACGACAACCACTTATTTTTCTTTTAAACCTTCATTTAAATTTTATAAGAATCTGTTTTTTTCATGCAGTTTTGCTGTCACGACTTTCACGTTAAGGATACTGTAGTCCACCACTAAGGTGTAGTTTCCTCGGGGCAGCGTGGGGGCCATATTGTTCTTCTTTTGGATGATGCGGTAGAGTTTGCGGAAGGTGGGAAGAGCGGCAGTTCTCATCCACACGATGAAGTCCTCATTGATGAAGCCGTTGTTCTCCGGATCAGTGTCCAGCTCGTACACGGGCCGGTGCCAGTTCACCGGCTTCATTGTTCCTGAAGTGGAAGTAAAAAAAAACAAAAAAAAACCCAGAATAGACGTTGGATGATTATCTTAAAAATGGTCAGAGTTTCTGATATTGTAGTATTACCAGTATTTACTAGTAATATTAGTAATAGAGGATTACTATTAAACAATCAATCAAATATATTAAATAATAAAAATCTATCTAATCTAACCACACAATAAAATATAAAAAGTGTGTTGTTAAATTATAAAAATACAAATATTAAAAACTAATTAATACAATCTAAAAAAAAAAAAGTTACTTAATAAAAAAAAATGTCAAAAATAAAGGTAAATAAATGCAGAATTTATTTCTGTCAGTCATCAATATTTACTTCTAATCTTATTATGGTGCTTGTTACTGCATATTCATTTATTTATTGAGCCACTTTTAGGTTTATGCTTTATTTCAGCTGTTTTATTTCCTGTGTTTATAATGCGGAAACAGTGCAGCTCTGTGCACAGGAGAACGAATCCTTTTTTAAGACTTGTCTGCAATAAGAAAAACAGACAGCCTCTCCCTCAGAGAAAGAGAGTGCAGCAGACGTCACTGACTGGCGATACCTTGAAAAACAGCCGTGAGGTTTGAGTTGGTGCCTACAGGGTTCCTGAACTTCACATGTTTGTCCGTCCACCAGGCAATTCCTGTGGACGTCAGCGGGATGGGGACACTTGTGCCGTTGGGGTCGTTGTAAAACAGCTTCAAAGTGTCTGCAAAGAAAGCAAAGACAGCTGATAAGAGAAAAGTGAGTCCTTCAAAGACACCTTCCCACAAACTGATCTGTGATGGCTGCTCTACGAGGCCACCATAATCATTTACTAATAGTAATTTTTTTTAATGTTTTCTTCATTCTCTCTTTGTTGTTAATCTGCAAGAAAAAAAAATGGTCTCACCGTTAAACATGCTGTTGGCGATGGCCCCACACGGAGCAATTGGCTTATTATCAATGGAAGCATATGGTTCACACTCCTTGCTGGGCTTCTGTGAAAGACAGAGAAGGAATAGGTGACGAGAGAGAAGTGGCAACACGTAGCGCAGCTTTTAGAGCTGTAAGCAAGGATATAACCCAGCAACAACCAAGTAGAACTTCCTCTAATGTTCAACGAGGCTGGCTCCAAATGTGACACAGTCCCCACAGACTCCTATGTTAAAAAGTTCAGTTTTAAAGCAAAAATGAGCATGTTTACAGTCAAGATTTAAAAAGAATAATAAAAATAATGCATTTTGGCCTTTCTGGACACTTCATAAAAGTTTTACAGGATGACACCCCTGTAAAATTGGGGGCGTAGCTGCTTTGACTGATAGATGTGCTCACACAGGCAGCTTGAACAATGTGTTTGTGCTGCAGTCTGAAGCGTGTTTAATATTATCATCTGACAAACGTTATGTCATCCTCTCCCGTTAAATGTGCTAATGGACCAATGAGGCCCAAGTCTGGATTCCAGGTTTGGTTCTCCATACTTGTCTTCAAATGTTGAGATCACCACTATGTTTTGGTTTTGGTTTGTTTATTTATTTATTCACCTGTTGCTCTTCATTTCTTTGACTCATGCCTGAAAATTAGCGTATATATCAAAACTAAACATGTTTTTGAAATCTAAGTTTTAACTGCATTTAAACCCATTTTCCCTTGTTGTTTTCTTGGTCTGTGACCTAAAACATTTTGTCCTTGATATGAGTTCACCTTCTCTTTTTTTCCTGCTTGCCATTGGAGAGGAAGCTCCTACCTTGAGGGAATCGATGTTTCCGTTCAGCTGGCTGTCATCTCTTGACTTCACGTAACGTCTGTGATTTTGGTAAAAGTTGGAAAGGCCGTAATACATGAAGACGTTGCTCTGTTTGATCGAGAGAAAGATGTGTAAAGGTTAGCTTAATCAAACTGGCTGCTGCTGGGCTGTAGTCCTGGATGCATCTTACCTCGTAAGGCTGATCCAGCTGGAAGGGGATTGTGCAGGTGCAGGACTTCGTGTTGTTCCAGCTGAAGTTCTTTGCACAGTTGTAGCAGGGACTGGACGCGTCATCTCCGGTGTAATCGATCTGTAAGCACGAAGAAAATAAATATAATAAATAAACTCAGTTAGCTCAATATATTTCATGATACTGACAGCTTTATTTATTTAAGATATGTGAATGAAGAGATATTCAAGATACAATTATATCATGAATATGAGCGTTTTGGAGAAAATGTCAGTATTAACAGAATCATTTAGCTCAATAAAATGTTAAACCCTGTTTTGGAAGAGCTTTACCAGATAATGATCAAATTGTGTTTGTGCCATTTGATGGGAATTACACTATGTGGACAAATACAATATTAATACAATACTCGTGACACAGAAAAATCAGCTCAGTTTACCTCAAACTCCTTGATGTTGTTAGACGTCACGTACAGGCCGATGCCGATGGGGATGAAGATGAGCCCGATGATGAAGAAGGCCGGGAGGACAGTGCCCGCGGTGAGGATGGGCTGCCACGCGGGGAGCCTCTGCTGCTTAAAGGCGGTGTTTTCGGGCTTCTTGTTCCGCAGAGTCCCGCCACCGGGTCCAGACACGGTGATGTGACCGTCCTCGTCTTTGGCGCTGTAACTGGACGCCATCATAACTTCGGATCTGTGATTTATCCAGCTGACCTTAGCAGGCTAACGGGGCTAGCTTCTCGACGACAGTTGTTTTTAAAAGGCGCCGGTCTTAAACGGCGTCGTCATTAGCTTGTTGCTAATTTGAGTGTTATTTATGCTAATCAAAGTTCTGTTTGTTCATCTCTAAACCACGGAGAGGCTAGCTAAAAACGGCTAGCACTTCCTTTCCCGGAAGTGTACAAACAGGTTTGTCAACAACACCCAGTGACGTAACTCTTGTGGTGGCTACTGCTGCATTCAGTGACCGCTGCGGAAACAAAAGATTCAGCCAATGCTGTATTGAAAGGACACGTGGACTGGTGTAACATAAGAAGATGGAAATCTGTTTAGTATCTAATTACAATTATTTTATGCTACGAGTGATACAGCAATGGTTTTATTATTTCTCGCTGGAATGGCAAAGAATTGGTTTCAATTTCCAAAGATGAGATTAAGATGTACGTGAATCACTTAAAGGCATCGTTATTAGTCATACAACGTCCAAAATCAGAAATAAATAAGTTTCATTTCACTGCTGGTAGAATTTTATTGTCAGATTTAATTCTATCAACATGAAGAAGTTCTTCACTGACAATATCCGTGTGTGTGAATAAAGTCTCAGAAAGCCATCACGTAGGCTTCAAACAGCATACATCATGTATATTGAAAAAGAATAACAAAAAGCGAGATGTTCAAGGATTCGAATTGAAATTTCCAAGCACTGTATGCATATGTTCACATCCACATAAATAATATGGCAAATAAACCATCAGAGACACTGTATGTCATTCATTATCTTCATGTCCAACTGCAGGATATTCAGCAACTTTCAAAACAGGTTTGTTTGTTTTGTTGTTGTTTTTTATTTCATTTTATATATGTTTTAAAACTGATTTAGCAAAAAAAAAAAAAAAAAAGAGAAAAACTTATTCTTCTTTCCACTGTTCCCTTTAAGGGTCGCCTCAGTGGATTACCACAGTGCCTCTACATCATCCCATCTCATCCATACCAATCCTCTGTATGTCCTTTTTCACTACATCCATAAATCTTCTCTGAAACCTTCCTCTGCTCCTGCCTGGCAATACAGACTAAAATTGTTAACGATTTGATGCCTAATAAAACAGCGTGCCAGTACACCTCACTGGGTTGAGCAGATACAAATAAGCCACAAGGCAATTGCCAAGCCCCACATCTGAATTAACTGAGTGTTTTCCTACTCCTCTCTCTCCTGGCTTCCCTGTTATAATAAAGGATAAAAAGCCCCCAAATAATAATAATTCCATTTTATGGTGTTAATTTATTCCACTAATGGAAGGTGTTTGTTTGTGAACACAAAGGGGGGGATGGGAATCATTAGAAGTGGGAGGTGTGACTGTTTGCATCATGTACTGAAGCTTCTGATTTTTTTTTTTTCTTCTTGTTTTTGTTGTTAAAAGTCTCCCATCATCTTCACCATTCTTCATGGCTCAGCGGCGCCAATTTACTGTGCCAGCATCCATCAGTGAACCTGTGGTGGAAAACACAAAGACAAGAAAACCTTCATTTGAGTCATCACGCTCCCCTTAGACAGCTCATTGACTTTAGAGCAGTAGGCAGTTTCATATGTATAAAAGATTTTAGAAATGAAACAGAGATTTGCTTTTGTCCGAGCTCTACCTCTAACTTGTTTTAAACTTACAACTTACATAAATGAAACCCTTTACTTGCTGTTCGACTTGTAACTTAATGAAGATAATTGAAGTGATTATTTTGTAGTTATAATGACAGTTATTATATTTATTCAGTTATTATATTTACATGAATAAAGGGTCTACTTAGAACAGGACCTGATGGATGGATGGACGGATGGATGGATGGATGGACGGACACTGTTCACTGTGTCTCTTGTCTCTTTGTCTTCTACAGCTATATGTTTAGCACCCATCAGCAGATGCAGCTCTCTGTGTGTTTTCTGTGTATTTTTTTTTATCTATTACCGTGTTTGGTTTTGTCAATTTTGTCTTTTGTCAGCATCAGTTGCTTGTAAATGTGCTTCATAAATAAAGTTGTGTTGAGTTACTGAATACTTCACATGTGCACAGGGTGTGAGAAGATCAATCGGTAGAAGCAAATGCAGGAGGAGAAATATCTGAAAAATGATCACAGCACAATATCCGTGAGTGCATCTCTTTCTCCGTCTCAGGTAACAACATCGAAAATGCGTCCTGCTCTCTTTGGCATGAAAATATTGTCACCTTGATCTAAAAAACAGTAAACATTCCTCATCTGCACTAAAGCGGTGCAGTGACTTTGCTGCAGGTTATAATAGCACACATCAGAGTGACTGAAACACACTTTATAACAGGAGGCCAGACTCTTGTCCCGCCCTGCTTACTGGGTTACTGAGGAATGCAACAAATCAGCTGCATGGGTGCTTACTTGCATAAATAGAAGTGCACAAATTGCACCTACACTGGGCCTTTAAAGGGGCTACCTGTTAGACTCTGAATTGGTTTTAAAAGCCGCTGTACTGTTTCAGACTAGCGCTCACTCTTTTTCAATTCTTGACAATTTTATTTGTATCATCCTATTATGATAATAAGTCTGTTAATCAGGAATGGCTGTGGCTCAGCAGGTGATCTACTGAAGGTTGGTTGTTCAATCCCTGGTATCCTTGGGCACGATACTGAACTCTCAGTTCCTCCTGATGTGCTCATCAGAGTGTGAATATGTGTGAAAGGGTGTGAAAGATGTATAAAGGGCTCCAAGTGCTCAAATAGAGTAAATAAAGCACTTTATAAAAACCAGTCCATTAAATCAAGTGACAATATATATACTGAGGAATCTGTCAATTTTTTATCTGTTTTATTCGAGTGTAACCTGGATATATTAGGATATATTATATAAATCTAGTTATAAATGAGTAAAAGAAGACACAATCAGATGAGTCCGAGCTGTAAATGATTGTTAGTTGTTAGACACTGTAATGGCCGGCCCACTCCCAGCAGTTTTTCAGCTCTGCAGCTGGACTGCAGCAGAAAAGTCCGCATGTCGGCTCTGAGCAGTTTTCTCTGAGGAGTGTGCCCGGCTCAGCCCAGCTATGATTTTCATAATCCTGTTCAGCCTCTGATGTTGTTCCCAGAAAGGACTTGATCCCCCCCCCCAAATCTCTAAGCAGCAGGCTCTGTGATTGATCATGTTTACCCTTCTGTTTTCCAGCTGCAGTCTTTAATATCCTGCCATCTTCCTCTTTCCTCCTTACATCAGCATATCTCACACTCTCCATCTTCCTGAATCACTCTAATTAAGTGGTAGCACAGTTGCTTGTTCAGATCACCGCATCTCTCCACATCTCCTGACAGATTACACAATCAGCAGGTAATTGTGTTGGCTGTTTTGTTCAGCCTGCGGTGAGACAATCATTAGAGGAAGCGTGAGGCTGCTGCTGCCTCACTGAGGCAGTTTAGAGATGTCAGATTTCTAAATGTGATCAGTTTTTTGCTGAAGTGAATCTCAACTCAGTCTGTTTATGTGCACTTGTCCACAAGAGGGAGGTGAACGCTCACAATGTGGACTAACGCTCACAGGAGGTCTGTGTGGAAACCATTCTGAATAATGGCCAGCAGGGGGCGACTCCTGTGATTAGAAAAAGAAGCCAGTGAGAAATGGGCCGACTTCACCCAGGTGAACACTTTCCTGATGAGTTTATGATCTCAGCTGCTATTTATATATGATGCTCATTTAGTAAATGATCCCATTAGAGCCAAATTGACTCACTGGTCGCCAACTCATGATGTACCTTGTCCCTCTGTTTCCACGGTACCAGTATTTACATCATACAACTCAATAAATCCCTTTACAGGTAACTTTAATTATCTTTAGTGTCTAAACTTTATTCTTGTTTTTCTTTACTTCTCAGGCTGAGGTCCACATCCATCTGTCCAACTGCTCACATTCTCAAATGCACTTTAGTTGAAACCGAAATAAGAAACCATTACTCTGCACACCTGTGATGAAGGAAAAATGGCTACTTAAAGGTGAGGAGTACAAATATCTTACATGAAATGCATTTTTACTTCTATACAGGATGTGGAATCAAGTTCAGAGAATTAGTTTTCATGGTGTCCCGGGAGTGTTCTGGGAAGCAGCACGGGCACCACGCAGTCACAAAGATGGAAGTTACGAAGCAAAGCCGTACTTGGTTCAGAGATAAATAGTTTTTATTTTGGTGCGTGTCACAAACAATTCACAGTCAGCGCCTCGGTCACCAGAAACCTCCATGAGCTGCGGTGAAATAAACACATGCTATAAAAATATGATGATGGCATTAAAAATCTGAACCATCTATGAAGGAGCGGCGAGATGGAGTTAATGAAATCAGCAAAGCTTTCTCGTGCAATTAACCGGCCGTTCAAATGACATGAATATTATCTGAAAACATGAGTGGTAGCGCATTAAATGATGTTTGTAAAGCTAAGCTGTGGTAAAAGGCGACATCACACACAGTTCCATGGTGAATGCACACAGATGTGTTCTGCGTCTCTATTCTGGCAGCAGATTTGGGGATTTGGTGGTGAACCGGCACTCAGCTCTTTCCTGCTGCCGCAGAGGCCAAGCCACACACGGTCGGCTTCCTCAGCTCGATTTTCATCGCGTGGCTCTCGGCCCGTGAGTCTAACCTTGTCACCGTGGACACGCCCAGGACCGCTTTGCTGCTTGGTTTCATACCTTTTGACACAGGGATCCGTGTGGCGGTGCTCCGACTATACTGCACATCTGCACTGGGCTAGAAAAGGAAGAAGAAGAAGGAAAAAAAAAAAAAAGACAAAAACCATGAGACAGAGACAAGGATCTTTTAATCGTTTTATTAACTGTGTCACTGAAGCAGGGAGGGTGAGAATGTGAGCTCCCCAGTAAGCATGCTTTTGGTGGCCCTGATACACGATCAGTGGACTGAGTGACGGTGGGTCATTTCGGGGGGGAGAAACTCCTAACGACTAGGTACATAAAGGGTTGAGGGTTGTATTTTTCGGACCATAAGGCGCACCGGATTATAAGGCGCAACAAGCGAAACAAAACAGTCAGATGAATCAAACTTTACTCAACTCATTCTTCTTGCTTCAGTCCGTTTACAGCATCCTGCCACGAGATTGTATTTGTCGCCAACCATCGAGAACCCTCACGTTAACTTTTATCCAGTGGAAAAAAGTTAGCGTTCATTCTCCAGCTTCCCTGCGTTTATGTTATGCTAACGTAGCTAGTGATCACGTAGCACATCATTATATACCAGCTAGCCCAACTTCAGTAACCATACAACTGTTACTGCTGTTTAGTTTTCTGTCTTTATTTATGTTGGAAGTGATAGCAGAGCTGTACGTTTTAATTTTTTCAGAAATCTCTCAGTCAAGACATGGTATATCATGTTTAGGTGGAAACTAGCGAGCTAACCTCCTGCCAACTTCTAACGCCATTAAATTTAATAAATTCTGTTTTTATGGATGCCTGGATGTTAAACTTCATTGTTACACCTGTTAAAGAAGCTACGCTGATCATTTTATCAAAGATGAAAGACTTTAGACAGTTTTTAAATCTCAGTGATGCCACTGTGTTCGTTTGACTTTGCGACCTGAAACAGATGGAGTTTTGGACCCAGAGTACTCCCTGAGGCTCCTGACTACGGTAGCCATAATGCTCTGACAATCCATCAAGTTTACCAAAGATGTACTAAAACATTCGAGGTCAGTAAGCGCACACAGAATTCATACATAAGGCGTACCGGATTATAAGGTGGACTGTTGATTTTTGAGAAAATTTTAAAAAAATTAAATACACCTTATCGTGCGGAAAACACAGTACACTGAATTTTGTATTGCTTTGTGATAACTTTTCCATTTCTGTTATATTATGAAATTATGTAGTTCACTGCAGCTGGTGTTCATCATTGTGCACCTCTGGGCCGAAAAAAATCAAGCCAAAGTACCGGAAAACTGCAGTTCCTGTAGTGACCACTTGAGGCTGGCTCTAACGGTGAGTCACTCAGACTCAAAGTTTAAAATAACAACTACTAACACACCCATTTAAACTGTCCAAAGGTTTAATTATGCATATTTAAGGGAGTGGTTTGGTTGTACTTAAATACACTTTTAGGAATCAGCTGTTTAGTTTTTAGCATCATTAAATATTAGTTTTTTTCTTTGTCCATCAGTCATCGGGATCTTCTTTGTGTCTCAGTTGTACAGATGTACTGTTTTTTTACCAATTCTTTACTGTATAAATCCTCATTTAAACATTTATTGATATCTTTTCAGGTAAAATTGTTTAGCAGTTTAACCTGAATGTCCACAAAACCTGATTTTCACCTGAATGTATTGATTTGACCAAATCAGCGACCTTTTCACACCAGTTTGTTGGGGTTATGTTGAGGTGACTTTGGTAAATGTAAATCTTAAGTGCTCAAAAGTCAAACACCTTCAGTGCTCAGTAGCTGCTTTAACTTCGTTTGAAAAAGTGAACTTATCAGTTTGTAAATTTATGCTTGTGTAGGAAAAACCTCTCTACAGTGTTGAGCAGTTCTGAGTAAAGCATTCTGGAGTTAGTTCAGATTATATATATTCACAAATTCAGTGTTTAATACCTGGACAGAGTGCTATCTAGGAAGCACAGACCACCTGTTTTCATTTTGAAACATTTCAGAAGCAACTGAAACGTAAAAAATTAGAAACATTTCAGACATTGCTGTAAACAAAGAGGAAGATATTCATGCCTCTAGGTTTGTATTCAGGGAGAGAGACAGATGGAGGTCATTAGAGCTAATGATCTCACCACTGACTGCGTTGGCCTGGAGGCGGCCGAGGTGATAGGCGTGATCGTTATGCTGCTTGTCATTTTGCTCGGAGTGGTTTTCCCCGCTGAGGCTTGGCGTGGAGAGCGGAGAACTGTTCCTGTTTCTCTGCTTTCTGAACTCAGGCCAGTTGGCCTGAGTGTCAGCACAGGACTGCTGCAGGCCTCAGACGGCCTCTTAAACTGTGGACCCAGGTGGATGTGGATCTTGTTGTCCTCCGTTGTGATGATGTTGCTGTTGTATTTCCTGACAGGTGTAGTTCCAGGCTGCTTCTCTGGGGTCACCTTGATTACTGTGCGGCCTGTGGAAACTTCGTGAGGCTCAGATAAAGCACACGCTTCAGCCACAGGGGTGGTGCTGACGGTGATGATGGACACTGGTGACTGATGGCTGCTCCCGCCATTCCTCTCTGGACTCTTTGCTCTGGAGATGGTGGTGATTGTGACAGGAGATTTGGCTCGACTGAGACCTTCCATTCCGTCACAGGTTTTGGTCTTTGAGGTCACGGTCGTGGGTTTAGGGACGATTGTGATGCGGGGTTTCTGAAGACCGAGAGTCGGGATGATGGTGGTGCTGGAGAAGAAATCTTCAGCTCGAGGGCTGGTGATCTCCAAGGTGGCAGTGCTGTTCCCGTGATCCGGGGTCACTCTGATATGAAGTGGCTGACCCGGTTTTTGGGACATGGTTGCCTCCGGTGGATGAAGCAAAGAGACCCCGTGGATCTTCTCAGGAGTGGTCTGAGTGATTGTGATGGCCTCCTTCTTTTTCATCCAGGGTATCCAAGATTTTTTGGCTCCAAGTTCCGCTGAAGCTGGAGGGTATCGTTCAAGAACTGTTGGCTTCTTGAGACTGTGTTGCCTGAGGTTACTCATCAAGTGGTTCTCCTCAAGAACTGATTTCCGGATAAAGCCCGCTGCCGTCTCGTCCTCTGCAGGCTCGCTGGCCATCACATCTGTCTGAACGGCTGTGGAGGTAACTGGGACATCCACCATCCTCCTGCCATTCATGCTTGGCCTCAAGGCACGACTGTACCGCTTGGCAGCTTCAAGCTCCTTGTTGAGGTTCTGCATTTCTTGGCTCATGCTCTTATTCCTCTCTTCCTCCTCCATAAATCTCTGCTGGAGGAAAGAGAAGTCAACCTGCAGCTGGGAGAGCTGGTCTTCTTTGTTCATCAGCTCGTGGATTTTCTCCTTTAAAGCCAGAACATCTGCCTGCAGATCTTTGGTTTTGGCCTCCTCCATCTTGCAGCGAATTCTCAGCTCAGCCTCAGGACTCATGACTTCTCCTTTCTCTATGGCTTTGTTTCGGGCAATCTGACTTTTCATCTCTTCCAGAAGCTTTGATAGAGCGTTTGCTTTATCCTGCTCTGTCCTGAATTTCTTTTCAAGCAGATCATACTCATCTTCGGTTTTCATCAAATCGCCCTCAACCACCTCAAGATGTTTGAGCCGGCTCTTCAGTCTTTCGATTTCTAGCGTGAGCTCTATTACTTTGTTATCTTCTTCTGGATTTTGGTTATTTTCCTTGCTGGCCCGCTTTCTCTGCATTTCCCTCTCTGTTTCCTCAAGTCTGTCTATCGTCATCTTCATCCCACTCAGCTTGCCATTTAGCTCCCTACACTTTTCCTCTTCACCTGCCAGTTTATTCTTTAACTCATCTCTCTCTTTGGTAAGCGTCGTCACCTGGATCTCCATCTCCGATTTGTATTTCAGAACTTTTTTGCTTTCCTCTATCAGCTTCTCTGTGACCTCTGTCACCTTCCCCTGCTCTGCTTTGAACATCTTACTTAAATCATCACTTTTCAGCTCTTCCTGTTTGAGTCTTTCTGCCATGTTTTTGCGTTCATCTACCAGAATAACTGTGAAGGACTTCAGCTTCACGAGCTCATCTTTAAGGGCCATTTCCGCTTTTTCGAACTTTGACTCTGAGGACTCGAGTTCCTTCATCCGGGTTTTCACCATCTCCAGCTCACCGGCCAAATCCTTCACGACACGTCTCTCTTTTTCCAGGTTTGCATGAAGCTGTGAGCACTCCGTTTTGCTCCTGTTAAAGATTGCCTCCAGTTTCTCCAATTCAGCCATTCTCTTCTGGAGTTTCTCAACTTCCAACTTCAGTTCCTTGCTGTGGTTCTCCTCTTCCTGCAGCTTCTTTCTCAACTCCCTGCACTGAGTCTCTGTTTTGGTAATCTCCTCATCTTTGCCCTCCATCTCCAACACTTTCTTACGCAGATTCTCCAGCTCGGCCATGAGTGAAGAGTTCCCACACTCTCCTTTGCTGATCTTCTCCCTCAGCTCCTGCAGGTCCTCCTCTGATTTCTGCAGGACCTTGTTGCTCTCTTCCAGCTCTTCAATCTTGCGTGTCAGTCCAGCCAGCTTCAGCCTCAGCTGCCGGCTCTGGGACTCCTGATTCGCCAGCTTGGCGGTCATCTCCTCATGCTCCTGTGTGAACTTTGCTGCTCTCTGCTCTAGCTCGGCCTCCAGCTTTAGGACCTTCTGGCTGCTTTCCTTGGCAGTGTCGCTGACAGACGCCAGTCGCTGCTCTTTTTCCTGAAGCTTCTGAGTGAGGTCCTGGATCTTCTGGCTCTGCTGGTCGATCTGCTCAATGTGCAGCTGCCGCTCGTCTACCAACATCAGGGCAAAGGACTTGAGCTTCACCAGCTCTGCTCTGACCTTCTCTAGTCTTCTGCTGTGCTCCTTGTCCTTACGAGCCTGGTAAGCCTTCTCCTGCTCCAAAAGCCTTTTGAGTCTGAAAAACAAAGACAGTGAAAGATCTTAGTTAATCTCTGGTAAAAAAAAAAAAAAAAAAAAAAAAATGTTTGGAGCACTTGCTTTCATGGACCAAATGTGAATTGTTTGTAGAGTAAAAAAAAAGCCAATTCAATTGTAATATTCTTGGGATGGCAGTCCAAAAAGATCCAAGTGCATGAACGCCAGCTATGAGATGGCAGTTTAATTTTTGCCAATTTAATTTTTCAGTAAGTTACTACATTGGGTTTACACTTTTTAATTGTAGTTTGTATTTCCTTCCTTAAAAACAAACAAATAATAATAATTATTATTATTACCGTTATTGTTATCATCATCATCATCATCTCAAATGTGTACACATGTAAATACATCTATGGGCAATATATAAGATGTTCTTAAGAGGCATTATAAAACACACTCACAGACATCCCCGTCATACGGACATGCAAGTCTCAAGCATCATCTGCATCTCCTAAAGCTCGTATTTCTGATCAAATAGATAATTTGTCATTTGTATATTGTACTTTAGTTTTGTAAGTGCACAATATTATTTTTAGTTACGTTTTTTGTTTCTCAAAAGTGAGAAAAATATGTTTTTTAAGTCTACTTTTAGTTATGAATTCCTTTTTTCATGTCATTTTATTCCAGGATTGTTTTAACTCTGCGAGTTTGTAAAGTAGATCAAGTCGAGTAGAACTTTTCCTTTTGATAACAAACATTTTCCATTCTGTGTGGATACATTTTCACCTCATTGCCTCTAAAAATTACAAACTAATAGTTGCCTTTAATTTTTTTTTGAACACAGTTTGCAAAGACGGGAAGGTAAATGGAGCAATTTCACAGATTTAAAAAATGGCATCAGCACAGCAGCACAGCGGCCAACAAAACTGAGAACTGAGATTTTGTTTGTAGATGTTTAACTGATCTCTGCAGGAGTCCCTGCAGGTCTGAGAAAGACGCTTTACAGCAGTTACATAAGACACTGGGATACATCAGCTGAGCTCTGGATCAAAAAAAACAAACCTCCAACCTCTACGCATACACCTTCACAGCCTTATCCTCCAGGGTCAAAAACTTCTTCCCCTCCAAACTGAACTTACCCACCAGCTGGGCTGCAGTGCTTGCTGATCCATCTCTGAGGGTGTTTTTAAAAGTAGCAGCCAGACTGCAGCTCGGCGTCTCCTGGGGGGGTCAGAGAGGGAAGGGAAGGAAGGAGGGGCCCCAACCCCACTGGAAATTAGGCATCACATTCCAAACAGCTCATTGGAGGACAATGAGAAAGGTGGATGCCGTGCTAAACAGCACTGCTCTGCTGGATGGTGATGTCATCCATCCATCCATATATGGACACAGAGGCCCTGCCCTTGTTTGGACACCAAAGTGGGGGAGGAGGAAAGGCTCAAATCTTCTTCACTGTTTTGTTTTCCCTCTGGGGAAGGAGGCACGACTAGACAGCAGGTGACATGACTCACGTAACGTGTCCACTTTCAAGTTCAGATTTCTTTTTCCTCATCTTTACTTTGGCTCCAGTTTTAACCCTCTGCTACCCACCATGCAGCCCTGCAGCATTTCCACAGAGACAAGACAACAATGCAAGGCGGGAGTTTTTGTTTGGGAGAGGACAATGCCAGAGTTGCACAGCCTTTCTCATTATAATCCCCTGGTATCGTGCAAAGCGAAAGGACATGGATATAATAATATATTTCTCCATAGTGGCTAAAGGGTGGGTGTGGGTGTGTGTGTGTTCCAGACAGAAAAGGCCTGTGGTTTGCACTGCAGAGGCTGCTAAATGAGCCAAATATGAGCAGTGCAAAGAGCTTACAGATGTTTACAGCTCTTCATTATTCCAAATGCATGTGATACATAAATACCACAGGAACAAGAAGCCACACTGTACAGTAACTGCCTGTGTTTTGTGGCTTCGATACTTACACTTTTGTTGGATGTTTGTAATTTAGAGATCTGGGAAATTGCTTTCTCAGCTTTGTATTTTAAATGAATAAAAACCATGAATGTAATCTTTCTTTTTAAGTTCAGAAAAAGCAAATGCCTATCCTGCCGTTCAGTGTAGAAATACTGGAGGAAAATGTGATTAGGGATTAATATCACCAAGGACTTTTTAATAAGTTCTGCTCAAAGATCTGATGCGTTATTAATTTCTCACCCAGATGTCCCTCAGCCAGCTGAGAGATACAGTCTCTCTGGTCACTGCCACCAGGCCCCATCCCAACTCGACATGCCTAAAATACCTCACCTGGGAGGTGTCCCGGTCAGATGCTGAACCACCTCCGCGGGTACCTTAAAGTAGAGTAGGAGCTCTACTCTGAGCTTCTGACCCGGTGTCTAAGGAGGAGTCCAGACATCCTTGACAGGAAGCGCGCTCACATCCACAGTCTCGTTCTTACAGTCACTGGAAATGTTCAATAACCAGTAAAAACCAAAGCTTCACCTTCAACGCAGAATTCGCATCACTACAGACTCTGCACCAATCCCTCAAATCCAAACATTTGGCAAGCAAATGTTTATTATTAAGGTTTAATTCTTTTTAAAATTCGCTTTTTTAAATAAATCTTGGTAAAATACAAAATCACATTTTGTAAAATTAAGAAAAACTGAGCCCATAAAGTTTTTACTGAAGGCCACGGACTAAGAGCTCAAGTCTTTTTACAACGTCTTCTACCTTCACTTTTCACCTCCATCTTTTTGACCATCTGTGGTTAGCGAGCATAGCAATCCTGCTGCCAATGTTAGCTAAGAGCTCCACTCAGGTTTGAAGTGTCACTTCACCTGCTGTACCGCAGTATATGAAAAGCCCTGGTTTTAACCATCTTGGGAGTTTCCACTGCTTTGAACATCCATTTAGATATCAACCATCTATCCTGAGCCTACATGAGAAAAGCTCTGAGGCTTTTACACCATTTAGACTAAAAACAAATTCATTTCAGATTGAAATCGTACCAAGTGCAGCTTTTGAATGCGTATTTGCACATTAAAATTCTTCCCTTCCTCCCAAATTTTACTCCGATTGCTCCCCCGTGCTCGCAGGACACAGTATCTGTCATTGCTGCCTTGTTGGCAGATGATGGCTCTGCAGAAAGCCTCTCTCTGTGTTTGGGTCTATTCATAGCCTCAGCACTAACCGAAGCCTGTCACAGAGAAGGAAGAGAGCCCCAAACAGCCATAAACCAGAGCAGGGCTGAGCCCACAGCAAACATCGGGCCAGGAGATGCTGATCTCAAGCTAATAATAGTTGCAGTAATTACCATTAACGTGCTGAACAGACGCGTCAACGGGAGCACTTTGATACAGAGGAGGCACAGTTCATGTTCAGACACAAACTGGAAAATCTCCACCACTGTGAAATTACAGAGAATCAAACCTACATTTTTCTAAAGACAAGTCTGATTTATCGGTCAAAACGTCGATGTCTCAAACCACATTAACCCATAACCACACTGGGCTCAGGGCCCTCTGGGTGGTCATGGCGAAAACTGACAAATCCATGTTGCCGAGACTGTTGGATTCCCCCATCAGCAATCGATGCGGATTGACGATATTATATGGATAACAGTTTTCCCCTTCATCAAAGCCACTGAAATTTTTATTTCTATAGTATATACCAGTCATGATGACAAGTCGTTTCCATAGATACATTTTAAAAAATAAATGAAAATCATCCAGCAGGCAACAGAGCTGGAGCTTGGATTCTGTGAGGTAAAGTTAATTTTTACATCACAACTTTTTGGACATTTCTTCCTTCATCAGTTAATAAACATTTGGTTGGTTGCAGCCCTGGTTTGTTTTATTTTAGCCAAATGAATTAAATTTATTGCTTAGATCAAGTCTAGAAGTCTCTAAATGGCAGGTTTTTCGGCAAAACGCTCAGCCGTAGCTCAAAGTAAATGGATGTAAACCCTGCTGGTGCACTGTGGTGGACATGTTTTCATTGAAGGATCTTAGCTCGTTTTTGGTGGGGGCCTTCCAGAGTCAACACATTCATAAGCTCATCTCTCGACACTTATTTTGTGTAGCTGTAGTGGTCTGTGACCGTTGTTACGCAAACAGAGCCTTGTAATCGGCCAGCGGGATCTCTGCTGGGAATGACATCATCAGGGTCGACATGTTGGTGATGCGAATCCACACGCTTACTGCAGCCAGCAGGAATGTGTTATCAGAGCAAGCGGAGAGGTGAGATCAGGGCGACGTTAGAGACAGAGTCTGAAAACTTCCTAACGACTATGAAACTGAACCAACAGCTCTCTAAAAAAGTTGAATACACCTGAACATCTTCACTGTTATGCTTCAGGTCTGTCCTTCCACCTGCAGACCACTGAGCAGGCACCACTGCTTCAGAGTTTAATTCATTTAGATGGTCTTTTCTCTTTTTTTGAGCCATATTCTGTTTACTGGAATGTTAATTTGCAGTAACATTCACTCTCTTTTAACTCTTGTTTAGGTCTCCTCCTCCACCATTTTCTGAGAAAACCAACAGTTAAATGAGTTTATCAGCTACAAACCTAAGTGAATCAGGTTTTTATGACTTTTCCTTTAACCTGCTGCATCTTAAGGAAGCTGATGAGAAAAAAGTGAATGAGGAAGAAAAAAAGGAATGGAAAGGCCCCACAATAATGAAGACAGCCAGTATCACACAGATTTATGATTCTTAAACCATCACTGAAAATATGAAAGCAAGCAGAAAGATGCTGCTATGAGCCATGCAGATAGATCTGAGACTCGGTGAAGCATTTCTCCACATTCAGGCTGTTAAGAGTTTTTATGGAGCATGAGGAGCAGCTGCAGATCTTCTTATGCCATCTCTCACATTTGGGCTGTTTTGATGTTGGATAATGGAGGTCAGTCACTGGAGCCATCAGCACGCCTCAAAGAAAGGCCTTATCAGATCACTGCACACGTTTTCTGATGCTCAGTTTGGGAGGCCAGAGTTCAACTTTCCAAACCAAACAAGCTCACGAGTGACAACCATTTTCCACCATGTATAAAACCTACTGTATCATCATAAATTCTGCTTTTATTTGGAGCATTCATAACCATAAGCAGCCCAGACGTGAATTACAATGTGCAAAATGTCATAAAGTCGGAATTTGAGCCTTTTCAGTCATCATTTCCTTGTTTTTTTTAAATAGTTTTACACAAGCTATTTAGTTGGATTTAGTGATTGTTGCAAACTAAAATAAAAAAATAAATAATTTTCCATTTTGTAAAAGAACAAAAAAAAAACAAAAACATGTTCTTATTGTACAGATAAGGCCTCCGATCAGACTATAAAGGATGGATGGAAAGACACCACAGTGCCACCCATTGCTTGATTTTATAACCAAAGGGTCCATCCGCCTCCCACACCATTTTCCAAGAAAGAAAAACAGCAAATGTTGTTTATCAGCTACACTTACCTGCTGCATCTAAAAGCAAAGCTAATGAGAACCAAGCGAATGAGGAAGACATTAATTTGGACATTTTAAAAACTGGGAGATTATGGGGATTAACTCACTTTTGCAGTTTTATGTCAGAAGCAAAGTTGCTGCTTTAACAGTATTTAAAGCAATGCAGCACATCAGTTCACATCAGTCGCTGCTGTGTGTTCTGTTTTTGCGATGACTCTGTAAGGCATATTTCACCACCTTGCCTATCAGACAGCATCTAAAACCCCGCTCTAGGTTTTATCTGACCTGGCCAAATAAACATGCATCTGCAGAACACACGTTCTTTCAAGAACAACTCATCTCTCATCATCTTTTAAGAAACGTATCCCTAGAGTCTGCAAATCTTACTAATCCCACGGAGTGAAAGATCACAGCTTGGTGGACTTCTAAAAATACGAACATTACAGATAACATCAAGTGATTTCAGCATCTGGCAGTGTTTGGTGTAATCGCATTACTTTTGCCATGATAGCTTGATTTCAAAATGTTTTAAAAATCCATGTGGGAGATGGGACAAAAAGGAGTGATAAGCACTTCTAGTTTGAAGAGTGTGGCTGGAAGCTGAAGCTGTTCAGCACAGCAAACTGAGCACACTGAGGTCAGGATGAAATTTAAGTTTTTCTATTAAAAAGTTTGGGATTTTCTTTAGCAGTGCTGAGCAGCTTCAGCTCATGATAACAAATTTTCTGAGAAACATCTGTGATGCAGATCCTTCCATTTGCTCTGTTTTTTTGCAGAATACATTAAAAACGTGTGTGTGTGTCCATACGCACTTGCATCACCAACTTCAGGGTGAACTTCAACTGAACTTCAGGGCTTTTTCTGTAAGCCACATGACATCAAAGCTCAATAGAAAGCAATGCTGACCCTCTCTGAGCAGTTTAGCTTTCATTTTCAGCAGGTAACCAAGGCAGATATGGACAGGCTTGTAAGCCTGATGATGCAGTCCCAGCTTTACTGCTTTCTACAGTAGAATCTCAACATTTTTCTGCTCCGTGGCCTCGTTTTCACCCACTTTACTATCAGCTTTGTCCCAATACTAAAAACTACTGAAAGAAAAACCCTCATTATGAGGCGAGGGATTTGTGCAGATTCAGCTAGCTAATGAAAGCAGAAAAGCTTAATTTAAAAATCAACAAAGATCCAAACACCACACTGGGGACAAAGTTAACAGCAACACAGTTGATCAAACAAAGACAGAGAGGATGAGAGCAGCTAGGAAACAAGACACAGGTGGAAACAGTTAAGGTGGAGCAAACAGTCAGAAACACAGGATGAAAAACCAACAGAAACTGAATGTATATGAAAAACATAATCATAGTCACCCCTTAATCAGTTAAGTCAGGTCATAAAGTCTTGAGCTGAGCGTTGTCCCCACCACCATCTAGGTGTTTTGAAACAGGATTTGACATGCAGAGAGGCGGATCTGACTAGAAACTGAGGTTACTGCATGCTCATTGGATAAGAGCTTGTGATTTTCAAGTCATTAGCCAATGAGCATAACCCTCTGTCACTCTAAGGTAAAAATTTATGTTGTATTTAAATCACACAGGCCTAGAGATTGGTTTGCGACCACCTGGCAACCCACTGGTTGCTAGGGGAAAAGCGAGTAATCAAGTGGTTGCCAGGGAGATTGCAGAGTGGTTTGTGTTTCTGTGTAATCAAAGCCATTAACTCATCAGCATCGCTGAGCATTGTGTTCCCATGAATAACTGGAGTTCCGATGAGCTGCCCCCTGCTGGTCATTTGATAGAATGCAGCAGCGTCTGAGAGCAGATGGCCTGGATCCACTTTAACAGCGGGGTGCTTATTTTTTTTAAAGAAAAGGGAGAGATTAATGCGCCACCTTCAGCAAATTCAGGTATAAACAACCCATCTGAAACCACACCATGAACGCTTACAGGTTTTAATTGAGCTGAATCCAGAACTGAAGTCAGAATCGTGCTCCTCACATACAAGGTCTTAAATAATCAGGCAACATCTTATCTTAATGACCTTGTAGTACCATTTCACCCCATTAGAGCACTTCACTCTCACACTGCAGGCTTACTTGTTGTTCCTAGAGTATTTAAAAGTAGAATGGGAGGGAGAGCCTTAAGTTTTCCAGCCCCTCTTCTGTGGAGCCAGCTTCCAGTTTGGATTCAGGAAAAAGACACTATCTCTACTTTTAAAATTAGTCTTAAAACTTTAAAACCATCCTTTTTGCTAAAGCATATAGTTAGGGCTGGATCAGGTGTCTTCCTTCTCTCTCCCCAACTGGTCGTGGCAGATGGCTGCCCCACCCTGAGCCTGGTTCTGGTGGAGGTTTCTTCCTGTTAAAGGGAAGTTTTTCCTTCCCATTGTCGCCAAAGTGCTTGCTCATAGGCGGTCATATGATTGTTGGGTTTTCTCATATTCTATTATTGTAGGGTCTACCTTGGAATATAAAGCATCTTGAGGCGACTTTTGTTGTGATTTGGCGCTATATAAATAAAATTCAATTGAAAATTTAATTGAATTGGTTCATGCGCTCTTGGCATCTTGGTACAGATGTTCCAAGCTGCTATAACTAACATGGGCTTAGTTGTTAGTCCAATAATTTACAATAATCAGCAACGTGGGCATTTTATTAGCATTTTCATTAGCAGCTGACGAGGCACAAAAGCTAACCTTCAAAATAAAACAGGAAATAACCTGAAGAAAGATCACAAGGGCAGAAGGGGACGCAAAGAGGCACAAAAGTTACAATGGGGCCGTGGAATAATGCAAAACTAATACAAGCAGAGAAATATGAGTAATGCATCACTTTAAAAAGCAATAAAGATTCAGTTGTTATAGATTATGTTTTTGGCTCAAAAACCACAAAATGTTGATTAAACCGCTGCTAAAAATAGTTCACAGCAGCTTATAAAAGGTGCAGTAATCCACCTCCAGCTTCATTTTAAACGTCATAGTTTGAGCTGATTTTAAACGTTTTCTTTTATCTTCTTCAGAGACCACATGGCTTTGAGTTTGGAGCCTCAGGCGGACAAAAGTGTGAAAATGTTTAGAGATGGACTCATTTTGTTGGTTTTGGCAGACTAACTTTTTTCTTCAATATTTGAGACTGTTGAGCTCTATTTATGCCAAAGTAAGCAATCTAAAAGAAAACAGGTACTTTTGTCCAGCCAGCCTGAACTCACCTCTCTCTCTCCTGCTCCAGCAGGTTGGTGAAGTCGTCACTCTTGTTGATGAAGTCTGCGTGCTTTTGCTTCTCGTTGTCCAGCTCCATGACGGTGCGGCGGTGGCATTTCTCAGCCAGCAGCAGCTGCTCCAGCATCCGTCTGTACGTCTCCTTCTGTTTGTCCTCCAGACGGTCCAACTAAGGGCGAAACACGTCAACACTCATTATGGACAACAACCCGCTCTCTAACATCGCATCTGCCAGCACAATATCACAAACCATTAGCCATGGTTACGGTGAGATTGTACTTGTGGGAGAGACTCTCTGCACACAATTCAAAACTTGTCACGCTTACTGCACATTTGTTCAGCCTTTCTTCCTCCACTGCACCCGCAGATTTCACTGAGCATGGAAAATCAGGTTTTGCTGCCATTCTGCTCACCAGAGAATCACTTTAGGATCTAATTTCAATCTTTCTTTTTTTCAAGAACTCCAAACCAAAGTTTTACAAGAACTGTTTTATAGCTGGATATAAGCTGAATTTACTCTGTGTGTGTCTGACTGAGCACAGTGAGGACATTATTTCAAGCTGTGGTTACTCCACCTTCCTCTATAAATCATGTGTTGTCTCTGTATTCAACAGTCAAAGCTTCGACGTTTCCTTTTTAGTTTAGGTTCAGTTCACAGTCTCATTTACAACAGTGTATCATCAAATAATTGTTTTTATTATTATTATTTATTCCTAAAATAGCTCGGTACCTTTGAGATTAATGCACTTTTTTTGCCACTGTGTGCTCTGATCCAGTGTAAAAAACTTGTCATTTCCTTTTAAATGATGAAATGAAAGTTATCAGTGTGTGTATCTCTCACTGACCTCAGCCATGGGCTTCTCGTACACATCGTCTGTGCTGCTGCCACTGTGGGTGAGCAGGGCGTCTCTCTGCAGGGCCTGCAGGGGTTTGGTGGGCACAGCGGAGCCGTAGTGGGCCTCCAGAGTCTCAGGACGGGTTCTCTCCGACTTCAGTAGCCCGATGATGTCCTCTCTGGCCTGAGGAGACACAACAACGAAGGCGTATTACATCCACCTCATTCATATATTATACTGTGAATATTTCTTTTCAGAGGTTTGGTCAGCACTTCCTGACAGAGAGAGCGTGCTGAGACACTCGAATGAGACAAAGCTGACTCCAAATAAAACAGCATACAAAAAGCTTTGCGTCAAAAAAAGCTGGAATGATGCAATAAAAATACAGATTATAAAACATGTCACGTGATTTGATCATTTTAATCTAATAAATAATGGATTGCATTTATATAGCGCTTTACAATTCCACTATTCATTCACTGTCACATTCACACACTGGTGCAGGCAAATCACAGTTGTAGCCACAGCTGCCCTGGGGTAGACTGACAGAGGCGAGGCTGCCATATCGCGCCATTGTAGGGTAAAGTGTCTTGCCCAAGGACACAACGACCACGACAGAGAGAGCTGGGGGATCGAACCGGCAACCTTCCAGTTACAGATGAGCTTCCCAACCCCTTGAACTGCGGTCCCCCAAATACTAACGCAAAAAATAAAACATCATCAACTGCCATCAGCTTCAGTAACAGACATTATAATATCATGTTTACTTGCTTACACTTTGCAGCTTTGCATGATGCACAGTTCAGAATAATCGTTCTTTATTTTATACCGAGCCTTGGTGCAGCTCCTCTAGTCATCATTTGTTTAAAATAAAATGTCTTAACTCCTCCCCTTTTAAGCTAACGTTTCTCTAATAGGCTGACCTTGTAAACAGAAGGTTTAAACAGCATATGGGAGGGGCTTCTGTCAGTAGAAGGCAAAACTGGTCTCCATGACATGTATAAATAGAAAAACCCTGCAGGAATTATTTGCACATACACTGACATCATTATTTGAAACTTTGGGCACGTTTAATACGAGCAGCCACTGTTTGAACCGCATCCGTTTGACAGGAACTAAGAGGCAGAGCAGATGCCCTTCTAGTTTTATGTGCAGTCTCATCCCTGACCTTCCAGGTTTGTGCCAGCAGAGAGCGCTGTTTCCTTCATGCAGCATTTCATTTCACAGAATGAAAGCTGCTTGGTTTCAAAAAAAGCATCACAATCACCTCTATTTTCACAGCACTGGAAATATACATTGATTTAAAAAGCTGTTTTTACGTTACAGCCATTTAAAACATCCGCACACCTTCACCAAAGAGTGCTCAGTAGTCTGCTGCTCCACCGTCTCAGTGTGTGCTGTGACATCTAATTCAGAGCCTGTGTTCTTACTTTGTATATCTCATACAGCTGTTATCGCAGCCAGCCGTGGATCCTGAAGATTATAGTTGTGATCTCATAGAAAGCATCAAATCTCTGTCCTGTTATTTTCTGTCTTTACCCTACATGTCACTAGTGAGCTATTTAGACCAACACATGGTGGTGCTGAGATGAGCAGGATAAATGTGCATAATAGAAGTCCAGAAACTAAGCAAGAGAGGAACTAAATTAAAGGAGAAATCAACAAGATCAAAAAGACAAGGAATGGCTGAAAAAATGCAGATAGGTTCACAAACTGACAAACAGGGAGGAAAAGCACAAAAGCACAGCAGAAGGACAGAAAGTCAAACTGCAGCGTGTGCAGCTGAAAACAGCCCGCCAAAAACTGCATTTCCCCACATGTCCACTCAAGACTGACGCTAAAAGTGAGTTACAGCTTTTGGGGCTGCAGATGTCTGGAGGAGCGTCCTCCTGTCAATCAAAGTAGCTACGCCCTGAACTTTAAGTAATGACAAAAACCAGGTGGATAAGTTAAAAAAAATTGACCTCCAGAAAAATTAACTTTGGATAGAGACCACATGCAGCAGGCTTATTCATGTAAATATGTTTATTTCTGCTGTAAAGTTAAACATCCCAACATGGACGTCTATGGGGACTGCCTCACAGTTGAAGCCGACCTCTAGTGACCATTGGAGGAACTGCACTTTAACATCGGCTCGGTTTTTCAGCTCCCGGAGTTGCTGCTCAGTTAAAAATCGATATAACTCGGGATTCTGTTGCGGCTTGAAAGTTGACATGTGGCCACTCAATTGGTGTCCTAGCTGTAGCTGCTAGCTGTCTGCTGGGCTTCACCCCAGCTAAACTGGACATCTGGGCTGTGTTTGTTCTGTCAGTGACTTTAAGAGCATTTTTAATTTCAGTCTTAAATTCTCAGAGATTAGAAATCAGTGGATGACATCATAGTGGCTGCACCCATCTTTTATTTACAGTCTATGGTTGAAATGCATAAATGAGACTTTATTTAAAAGGATGCTCTTGTCATGGTTAAAATGTGCTTATTTTGCTTGCATCTAAAGCAAACCCTGACCCTAAATAGGTCACCAGTAACCTGGCAACGTTCCTTTCTCAAACAGGAAGAAACGAGTGTGTATGATGGGGAGTATTTTCAGCAGCGGTTAATCCACATTTGATACTCATGTGAGGTTGTATGTGGGTCTGGTTTAAATAAACTGCAGTGTGTGTGTTCATAGTGATGAAGTATCATATCACCCGAGGAAAGAGTGCGGCTCACTGATGTGTTTTTAATAGTTCTTGGACGATAACGGAGCTCAGAGGAATAAGATATATAAAGGTTTAATCCATAGTAGTGGCATGTGATCAGCGTTAGTTTAGGTATATTTATGAGATTTGTCGACGTGGAGAAAACACATGATGATGTTTGTTGTATTTCTGGCTCTGTCATGCTGCAGCAAACTCTCCTTTTGTGTCGAAAATCTTGATCCGTTTTCTATTCCTGAGCACCTGACACGTGAAACAAAGCAGAAGAAAAGCAGCTCTTCCTGTGCGAGACGTTGCTCTGTGCTGATTATTTCTCTGCCTGATGGAAAATATTCAACACGCCCAAACAGATGAGCAGGATGGAAACAGAGGGCGAGGCAGCAGCATCCTGCCTCTCCGGAGAGAGCTTTATAAATGTGCCTCCATTAGAAAATCATTATCAGAGTGGAACCCAGAAGCAGCTGGTGGGCTGTTTCCACACAAATCTCACCCATCACATGCTGTGAAACATCAATATGTCTCAGCGATGATGAAAAACTCCACTGCATTTATGGCTTTCACATCCCCAAACAGCTTCAGGCAAAGAAAAAGAAAGGAAATAATCAACACTTCAGCTTAAACGACATCTGAGCTGTCAAATAAACACTACTGCACCATCTCAACCAATACAATTAATTATTAAGACAACTGATCCTACTGTAATCAAACTGTGACCAAGTCAGCTGATTCAGTCAGGTGTCCAGCATGTTCTCAGAGGTGCTGCAGGTATAACGCCACAGCCATGGCTGACATTATTACTGCCTGATGGTATGATGGCTAAACCCGTACATGAACAGATGTTGACACTGTTTCCATGCATGATTGAAGTTCAGTCAGACATAGACACACTAGGATTACCAGAGCCTATGCTTTTAAATATAATGAACACTTTTCAAGCTATGTGCATATTTACATTACATTACAGATGAGAGGAAAACAGCTGTCCAATGGCTAAAAGAAGCAGCAGAAAGAGTCTCCTGCTGGTTGTGGTATAAGCGATAAAAAAGCCCGGAGGAGATGGGCAGTAACCACTCTGGGAAGGCTTCACCTGGTGACCTCTCCTCCACCTCAGGGCTAGATCCATTTAAACCAAATGGAGTAATGAGGTGTCTTTGATGTAATGAAACCCCACCGTTAATAGAATGCTTTTCTAACCAATCAGACAACTCAAAGAGCTTTAGACTATGAGCCACATTTAACTATACATTCATGCAACGCTGCACTCTTTAAGCACTTGATCTACTTCACATCCACAACCAATAAAGAATCATCACTTAACCTGGCATGCATGTCGTTGGACCTGTAAACAAGATTAAATAAATAAATGTACTTTATTGATCCCCGTGGGGAAATTCCTCTCTGCATTTAACCCATTCACCCTGTGAAGCAGTGGGCAGCCAATGGGCGCCCGGGGAGCAGTGTGTAGGGATGGTACCTTGCTCAGGGGTACCTCAGGGTAGCCGTTCAGTGGAACCTCCGACCTTCCGATCATGGGGCCACCACTCTACCTACTGAGCTATCCCTGCCCAAAGCAGGTTCAAAGTGACCACTCAGTCTTCGCTGTCTGTATTAATGAGCCACACCAGCGGCTTTGACAAACTAATTTTTGCCCCGTGAATGAGAACGAGTCAAAGGTTTGGTTGAAAATACACTTTCGTTTAGGGAACATGGTTAAATATGAATAACCAAATCGAGTTACTGAGCTTTCTCATTAAATAAGGACATTTCTTTGACCTTTAACCAGCCACCATCTGAATGCACGTATTCACTCTCAGATGTAGTTGGCAGCGCTCAAGCCATCAGTTCATTAGAGATTTGCATGAAGTCGGTTGCCAGACACAGAAATGTGTACAGATGGTGTGCAATAATATGCATGTGAACATACGTATGAACATGTGATCACTGTGCAGTATGGAAATGTTCATGACCACAAATGTGCAGTTAAATTAAATCAAATCAAACTGGAAAAAAGGGGGAAAGGGTGATTTTTCAATGCAACTGCTGCAAGGTGCAAACAAAAAGGGGCAGATTTACAAAAATATGTCACATGACCATGCTTTGATGTCATTCATACCTGAACTTCTCCCTCCATGACTCCTAGCAGGTGAAGCAGGTCCTTCTCGGACAGATCTGGTGTTGCTGGCTTCTGGCTCTCTGCAGCTTTCTGAGGTTTCTTCACTGAGCCCGACACTCCCGTCCTCCCATCCTTCTCCTCTCTGTGAACTTTCATCTTCCTCTTCGTCAGCTCCGACATGTTTTCATCTTCCTGCTTGATGAAACCTTTACTGGGCTGGATGTGTCCATCATCTGGACCTTCCATGGTGCAGGTCCTGGATCGCATGTTTTTACCTGTGGGAAAGGAAAAAAATGGAGACCATTAAGTTAAAAAAAGACCCAAGAAAGCCAGATGTTTGTCTTTTTATATCAGTGTTGGGTTTCAGCTTGTAAAGATTTACTTGGCTTGAAGGTTTGCTTTGGACACCTATGACATTAACAGGATCATTGTATTTGCAGCTCAGCCTCAAATTTCAGCTGTATGCACAACAAAGACATTAGCAAGTGATGAAAGCATGACAACAAAATAAAGGCAGTAAAATATTAACCATGATGGATTACCCAGCTCCCCTTTCAGAATTTCAACCTCTGCAAAGATGATTTTCATAGTATTCAAACCAACTGGCAGCGATGCAGCAGCTTCCTGGAAAGTCCAAACCACTAACTGCATATAAAAGATGATCATGGCTACCAGACTACAGATCACCCAGTGGCTTGTTGAACAACATTTGGAAGGCTTCTCAAGTTTGACGTTTTGGCCGTCACTATATAGCGCACGCCTTCAGTGATGCACAGCGTTGGTGATACAATAAAAACAGGTGACTCATATAAATATTTACTCATTATCTAAGCTTCAGACGTCCAAATGTTTCTGCAGCAGGCTGTAAAAATGTTCATTTCTGCTGTAAAGTTGAACATTTTAACATGAGAGTCTATGGGAATTGGCTTTGGGAGCCAGCCTCTAGTGGCCATTATAGGAACCGCAGCTGAGTTGAGCTGGTCAGAACTAAGGTTCATATCTTCATCATATTGGTTTCATATTGCAATCATGCAAACATCCCAAAGAGCATAATGTGACATTCTCACATATGTAAAGCGCTTTGAGTGCTCAGATGAGTAGAAAAGCACTATATAAGAACCAGTCCATTTACCATTTACCATGCGGCTTGCATTACCCTGTATTTGACAGTGATTGGTTTGTAGGTGGAACTGTGCAAATGATGTTGCTCAGTCATCGATTAGACAATCACCGATTGAATGAACCAAGAAAAACGATTCGCATTCTTCTCAGGACTTTTTATATGACTCATGAGAAAAAGAAAAACGAGATATAATACAATGAATTAACAATTTAGAAAGATTTAAACACTTTTTCAAACAGTTTGTTTTTTGTGACCCTCGTAGACAATGAGGTCATTTAAGTATCCTAAGTAGGAGGAAGAAGTCACATTCATGCCTCAATTTATGAAACTGCATCCTGTAACCAGGTTTCTTAAACCCATTAATGGAAAGATCTTGGAGAAGCTCACGGCTCTTCGACGGTAAATTGATACACCTGATGACCAGTGATGGTCCATCCATATTAAGTGACCATATTAAGTTAACTTTAAAAAACAGTTTAAAAAAATATTCCCATTCCAAAATGTTATGGGACAATCCCATTGGCTTACAGAGTGATGATGTCACAAGGACAAAAGGGGAGTGAGACGCAGCATTTTTAGTTGATTTGTTCATAGCAGTTGTGTTCGCAGCCTTCAAACGTTCAACCAGAGATACATTTGGAAACCTTCTCAGAGTTGCTGTGTACAGAGCGCAAATTCAAAGGCGTGGAGGGAGAAAACAAAGTGCTGAAAGTCAGGCTTGATCAAACATTGTGAAACAATGAAGAGCTTCTTCAAGAAAAAGAGCAACAGAAGAAAAGACGGGAAGAAGAAAAACTTATTCTCCAGGACTTTGAGAGGAAAAACCTACAACTGCAACAATTCTGTGATGAAATGAAGGACAAAACAACTGAACTGAAAGGAGAAAAGGAGAAAAGGAAAAACTGGAAAAACGATGCTCAGAGATGCAACGTAGGATCAATGGAATAGCGAGAAACAACTCAGAGCTCATTAAGGGGGTGTTGATGAATTTCAGTGACTTCAAGCGTGAAAACACAGAAATTCAGGCACAAAAGCGACAACAAGAGAAAACAAATGAAGACCTGCAGTGTACGCTTCAAGAAATCCAAAGAAGAAATGAGCAGTTAGAAGACATGCACAACAAAGCACAAGAGAGAAATACAGACATGCACAAGATGACTCTAATGCACGAGGCAACATCCAAAGAACTGAGAGAAAATCTTGAAGACACACAAGCAACATTAGAAGATGTGCAGCAAATATACCAGAAACCTGAGAAGCAAAATGCTGAAACAACTGATGAGTTGAGAATCCTCATCCTGGAGAAAAAAGCGCTTGTGGAAAAGTGCCTGAAAAAGAAGGAAAAACGCTTCCACTTGTTCCAGAGGAGGGACATCTCATCCCCAAGCAGTCCCGACAGTTGGCTGCGCCCCCCCCCCGAGCCTGGTTCTGCCCGTTAAAAGGCAGTTTTTCCTCCCCACTGTCGCCTAGTGCTTGCTGAGAGGGGATAGTTGGGGTTTTCTCTTCTTTACCCTGTTTCTTTATTTACTTGTTTCTTTAACTTTTGGTTCTTACTTCATTTTACCTTGTTTCTTCATTTACTTGTTTAACTTTTTTGTTCTTACTTTGTTTTACCTTGTTTATTTATTTACTTGTTTGTTGAACTTTTTTTCAACTTACTTAACAAAATAATAAACCAACTGAATTGATCCTTTGAGTATTTTTCATCTTATCTTTACAGAATTTTTCCAAAACAATTTCGAACAATCAGATGTGTCTTTTATTTTCTTGTTGAAACCTCATAAATGGTGAACTAGGTGAAAGCTTTTCTGCTCTTTGCAATGAGACAACAGAAATGCAATGATGGCAGAAAAAAGTCACACTTTGATGAACCGCAATTTAAGCTTTACTGCTGCACTGAATACTGAGTTTTGTTCTTTGTGCATTTTCAATGGGGGAAAGCTTTGGAGAGCCGGACCTTCCCATGTTTGAGCAAATCTCCTCTACGACCAAAGCCAGGTTAAACTATTGTGCCAGTCACTGTGAAAGTGAAAGGTAGCTTCAGCATCACATCACTGGAAGATAAATGCAGTCATCCGGCTGTGACTTCTACATTCATTCATACTCATAATAAAAAAAAGTTATAGCCAATTGAATCTGAATGAGGCCAACGTTCATGATGTCTGGATGAAAGCAGGTCGTGACTAAGCCAGAGAGAATCCTGGCAGGCCCGAGGTAGCAACCACGTTACCGATACCCGTTATTAATAGTTGTTTCAGGGTAGATGCCAAAATTTCCCATGTGTCAAAACTACAGAGCTGAAAAGAAAAGGCTCAACCGGAGGGGTCAAAATCTAAGCCAAGACAAGCTCATCTCAGCAGCTGGAGGTCCAGGCGTCAGATGGAGAACATTTCGACAAGTTCAGGGAAAGTATCTGATCTTAAATCCATTCAGATTATATCCACTGCCCCAAATTTGAATTTAATCAACATATCATGGATTCCAAACCACAAATATGGTGTCACTCCACATTAAAAAGTGTGCCTTGAATCCGGAGTCAGTCCGTATGATTTATTCTTCTTCTACCCTTCATCTGGAGTCAGTTTATATCATAAAATTAAATACTGAATTTGGATTAAAAATGAAGAGTTCAACACTCAAAATGTGCAATCAATCCATAGGATGAATTCTGATGTGATTCTGGAGTCAATCCATAGGATGAATTCTGATGTGATTCTGGAGTCAGTTCATAGGATGAATTCTCTATCGTGAATCTGGAGTTAATCTGTATCACAAGTTCTTTAATCTGAATCTAAAGCTGGTTCATTTACGTGACTGAAGCATGTAGCTCATGTTTAAGAAACCAAACAGCAGTTCACAGTTTTAACAGTTACTCTTATGTCTGTCGTTGAGAGTAAAACAACTATTGCACCACAAGACCATAAAAACAAGCTAAATTCTAGTTATGCTAGTAAGAAGTTGAGATAATAAAATTCAAATTCGAAGCATATATTCAGTGCCAAATTTTAACCTGTAGAGTTTTATTTTGTTAATTGCTTATTCTGCCAGTCTGCATTGAAAAACTGTCCCAGGAGGTACTGCTTGAGCAGCGTTGATGGTACTGTACATAGACACAACATTAAAACACCAACACAATCTCTCCCACTTTTTCCTATTTTAGTTCAGATATGACACTAAATGTCCAATACGAGTGCGTCCTGACTCACAAAGGATCCACAGGCAGATCACCACCAAGAAAAACACATTATTTCTAATTTTTGTGTACTCTTGGCAACGAACAGACCATAAATTTAACCAATAGCATAAAATCGTTGGCAGTCAGAAAGTTTTTGTCCACAAGGTTTAATTTCAATCCTAACTCTGAAACCTGCACTGATATCAAGCTCACAGGACAATGAAGCTTCTGGGACATGTTGCTGACGTTCAGCAGGCCTTTCACTGGAAGCTGCGTACGGCGTCTGTAAGCAGAGATGCTCTGTTTACAGGTCATGTTGTTTTCATTTCTGTTGCTATGTGTCACATCAAAGACTTTTACAGGCTTCTGATGGACTCTCACTCGTCAGATACCGACACACTGTTGCACCGAGTCTCAGATAAGTAAACCCATCCCTATAAACAGTTTACCTCCCCAGAAGGAGCTCTGAGTCATGATTTCACTGTGACCTTATCAGCATCACATCCTGATGAAGCACCGATGAAAAGCTCTACTCAGAGTTTTCCATCACTGAACGTCTTCAGCACAGAAAAACAGATTTATTTCTCGAGTATTATTAGAAACCTCTTCCTCTTTAATGTCGTCTGCAGGGTGTCGTCCACCATCTGTAACTTTCCAGAACCGGTGATCTCACTTCCACATACACTTCACAGAGCAGTCATGCAGAGAGGGGCAAGGCACGGTGCTTGATTAAAGCTCCTCATTTTCTTACGTTATCAGTGTCTCCCATTCCACCCTTTTTTCAACACAGTTACATTGCGGTTATAAAAACATTTCATTTCTTTCACATGTGGCCCTGCATGAAGTCATGAATGACTGCACAACAACTTTACTAGAACTTTACTAAAGCATAGGGCCAAGGATGTACTCCAATGGAAGCAACCACTTCGATGAGAAAGTCCTCGACTATACACTACAAACGTAAATAAATCAGACAA